CAAAGAATGTTACATTGCAACTCAAGTTCTTTGTGCTTTTCATCTAAGTCACAATACTTTTTCTTGAGAGCAATATTTTCTTTCTTTGTGATAGCATGGTCCTCTTGTTCTTTGGCCAAGGCCTTGCGCAAGGATTCCATCTCACTTCTCTCTAATGCAAGAGCTTCCTTGCTAGCAATGTAGAGATCCTCTTGTTGGATAAGAGTTTCCTCTCTAGATTCTAGCTCGGCTTGGACACTCTTTAAGTCCTCCATTAGTTTAGTGATGAATAGTTTGGTATTTCCATCTAAGTTCTTAGTTAATTTATCAATTTCTTCATCACTAGATTCATCATCACTAGAGCTATCACTAATATCACTACTAGAGATATCACTAGGAGATGGAGGTGGAAGAGCTTTGGCCTTGGATTTAGATTTTACCTTCTCACCCTTTGCCATAAGACAAATATGAGGGGAGTAGTAGTCATCATCAGACATGTTGGTGAATGTTGGTGAAGAAGATGGCTCATGAATAGCAACGATTGCAACTTTCTCATCTTCTTCACTTGAGCTTGCCCCATCTCTTCTAAGCTCGCCAGAGTTGGGGGAGAAGGGGTGGCTCGAGCCACCAGAACCCTAGCTGTTGCCGGAGCTAGGGAAGAAGAGGGCAACCGCATCGATGAGCGCAAATCGGACGACCAAGGATCGGGCGGGCACGAATTGGACGGAGGAGGCATGTGACTAATGGATTTGCAACATGTCAGTCACCCTTGAAGGAGTATTTCTACAAATTATATGGGTATCTAATTGCCATAAAAGCTGTTCACTTTTCTTGTGTGCCTGTGTGCTACTCCCTCCATCGCAAATTATAAGTCTTTCCAACTTTGTTGAGAGTCAAAGCATCTTAAGTTTGACCAAATTTATATAATGAAATAACAATATTTATGAAATGAATGTTGTACCATTAGATTATTCATTAAGTATATTTTCATAGTATATATCTATTTGATGTCATAAATCTTTGTAATCCTCTCTATAATTTTGGTCAAACTTGAGATATTGACTCTCCAAGAAAGTTGGAATGACTAATAATTAGGAATGGAGCGAGTACCATTTAAAATTTGGTATGGCTAGCACCCGTCTAGGCGCCTACCCCTCCTACTGCATCTGCTCGTGCCTCCTGCGCCTGCCCGCCCACCCTGCGCCTGTTGCTGTGCTTACCCAACGTTCACACGCTCGTCGACTGAGCTTGAACTGCCACGACGAGATTGAGGAAAGGGAAGGGGGGAGAGAAGAGGGCGAGGCGCACCACGCGAGGAAGGCACGAGGTAGGAGCCGAAGCCCTACGACAGGCCGCTGTCCGCGGGTCACTAGCGCCATTGCAGCATGTGCAACGCCCAATCTACTTTTGAAACATCCAGAGGAAACATTTGCATCATACGTCTAAAGACAGATGAAACACTTGAAACATGCGATTGAAACATGCATGTATAGTCATTTGTAACATGTGCAACACCAAGATTTACTTTTGAAACATCTAGATGAAACATTTGCAACATACATATGAAACACTTGAAACATAGGCTTGGAACATGCATATTTTGTCATTGTAAGATATGCAATATCCAAATCTACTTTTGAAACATCTAGATGAAACACTTGAAATAAAGGTCTGAAACGCTTGAAACACTTGAAAACATATGCTACATCTAGTTCTACTTTTGCAACATACAGATAAAACACTTGAAACAAAAGTCAAAAACGCCTGAAACAATGAAACATAGCGTTTGCCGCGCGGCCACGGCCTACCTAGTGGGGAACTGCGGTATAGATCGGCGAGGAGGACAGGGAGCGGATGGAGGCCTCTCTAGCGGAGGCGTTGAAGTGGCAACAGTGAGGCCCAGCCGAGCAGGCCCGCCGCCCAAAGGGGCCCTACGAGGAGCGCCATCTCCCAGCCCGCTGCTCTCTATACTATAGTACTAGCAGTAGGATTGCAACCCGTGGTGGAGAAGATGAACAGAAAGCGACAGGCTCCAGCGATGAGCTCGGGCCACAGTGCTGGGGTGGGACAGAGGAAGCGGTAGGGATGAAGAGGTGTCGGTGTGGGCAACCGCGAGGCGCTGTGGTGGGGAGGAGGAAACGAAAAGGATGGAGGAGGCGCCGGCAGGAGGTGCGCGGCTGCTTCCAATTTGATTGGTGTGTGGAGATGAAGAAGAAGAGAGAAGAAGAATTGGTGATTTTTTTAATATAAGTACAATATATACTACTTGTACTCTCTGATAGGAGTACTAGCCAAACGTCGCAGGTAGGAGCGAGCAGAGTGGACACGTGCGGGGTCCGGAAAGGACGGACGCCCGAGTCGGAGCATTATCATTTAAAATTTATGTATTCTTTCTGTCACTTCTCTCACACACCATTTACTTGCTCGAACAATTGTGGGTACGCTAGTACTCACAAGGTGCAACATAACATTGAGAACCATTTATGTCTGCGTGCAATGCCAAACTTTACCCCTCCTTCAATGACAACATGACCCACCAGCCGGCCTACTCAGCCCTCACATGAAGCCACCGGGCCCGTATCTGACTCCACCTTATCCCCAATGGCGCGCGCTCAATCCCTAATTCGGGAGCTGTCAGCGTGCATTTAAACTTCTAATTCAGTTGAATCATTCATAAATAGGATGGACCGTTGGACACGTGATGATGATGAGATGAAGCAACAATAACCTCTAGTGTAGACGATGACGTGCTTGTCTGGCTTGCCGATCCGTTTCTATTTTTCGGGTGTAGCTACTGCCGTATATGTATCTCAAGATTTAGGATGCATATGAAACCCGACGAAGTGTGTATATATGAAGTATGTGATCATATAAATTATCTGGGGTAGTATATATCAAGTATGCAAATATACATAGAGTATATAATTATTCTTATTTTCCCTTTGTGTCTTGGAATATAAGGTATCATAGGAATTCTAGGACATATTACGTGGTAAATCAAATGGCACATGTAACTCTTTTTGGCTACCATATCTGTGTTAGTAATAGAAATTAATGGTAGGTATACATATAATGTTGCCTTTTAAACTGAGTTGGAGGATTAGTTTACATAGAATCCTTTATAATTTGGGACAAATTTTAAACGTTTAGATACCTTATATTACTATAATGGTATTATAACAATATACTAATTAAAAAATAGAATATGGAATCTTTTAAAAATTTCACGTAATAAGATTTAGAGTATCTTAAAATGAGTATATAACATACTCAAACTGATAAATGAGTATGCATTAGTATGGAAGGTGGTTTATTGAAGATGAGAGTAGCTACCAACCAAGAGTAGGAAAAACACACTATATATATAATGCTATCAAACATACTCGTGTGTTGTAAGGGACGTATAATATATTGTATGGTCCTAAGATCTATAATTAGCTAACTAACTTGTTAGATTTAATTGGTAGGAGTGAAGAACGATGAACCAAGGGGCAGAGAAAAAAAATTAAAATTTTGTACTTTAGTATTCTCTAAAGACTATAGACTGTAGATAAAGATACAAAACATGTCCATGAGTTGCAACGGAATTTACATCTTGCATCATTTGTTCTAATACGTTTTAGAATTAGACTTCGTATCATGGTTGGATGTGCGCTATTCTAACTCTTCGAGTGAAAAAGACACTTGGACAGGGAAAAGGAGAGAGAGTACCATGGACCAAAATTTGGGGAAGAAATTTTCACTCAATACTATAGAATAATTTTTACAGACGCCTCCTACTTTTTTCAATGACAGTTTACTTGACGAACCGTCTCTAACCAACTCCGATAGCACTATTCCTTACATGCCACTCCTAAAAATACATTTCCAGGTGCAGTTTTGTTAATTAAATCGTCTTGAAAAATATATCAGTTTAAGAGAACTGCACGTAAATATTGGTGATTTCTAGGGATGGTTGACCAAGTCAACTATCCTTAGAAATCAATTTTTTTAATAGTAGCAACATAAAGAAATTCATAACCCTTTCAAATAAAGCCAGATGTGAAGGCAAAAATTATATAAAAAATATAGAGCTTGACGAGATCCAAAACTTTATAGTTTGATAATTTTTTTATTTGAGATCTTTTATGGGAGATCGTTTACGAGTCAAAATATTGATTATAAGATTCGTACGTGCGTACAAAAGGATAGCATCATATACGTAGTCACAAGTGACTATGTGGACGGAGATAGATCGAGATAAATGTGATGATGAAATGAAGCAACAATATCCTATACGTAGTCACAAGTGAGAAGGGAAGGCGGGTAGGGCCTGGCCCCCCTAATGTTCCACTGGCTTCATTAGATATACTCTTTAATCATCTTTAATCACTAGTAATTACCTAAGTAGGTCCGTGTCAAAGCCCAGTTAAAAGCTCCAAGCAACCGAACATGTAACCAGGAAGCTCCAAGCAGCCAAGCAGGAACCTGGAAGAGTACTAGTTTAGTTTTTCTCCGTTCTCAAATCAGTAAATCATATCTCTTAAAGCCAAAGGTCACTAAGTGGGTAGATTAAATAAATGTGATGTTATATCTCATTTATGTTTAAATAAATGAGTAAATCATATCTCGGCAACATTATTATATATTCAAATTTTCCACGCGATCATCATTCTAACAAAATTTTACATCTGTCGTCATCTTTGTTCTAATACGTTTTAGAATCGGACTCTGTGTCGTTGTTAGATGTGTGATTCTAACTCATATGAGTGAAAAAGACACACAGACACAGATTTTTGTTGTAGTGTGTAGAGAAGAGAAGATATATAAAGATAGAGATACAAAGTTTGATATAGGATAAACATGTACTCGAAGAAATACACACAGATAGACTTATACTTGTGATCAAAGAAAGTAGCTTAAAAACACACAGATTATACATATAAAGTAAAAGATACATTTAGCAGAAAGAAATAACAATGATCGGAACATTATTATACAAAGCCACGAGGTAATTCCATCATCATGCACGTGTCCCCACACTAGCAGTTCCTCTGTCTGACTGAGGAGTAGCCCAGTCTAAGCTGAAGATCCAGACGTTCTTCCGTGCCATCGCCATGGCTGCACGCTCCCATCCTCAACTCCAAGTTCTTCCCCTCGGAGTAGTCGTTAGTCGCGGCGGACGATGTCGAGGAGAAACGGTTGCCCAGCTTTTCTAATGGAACAGCTGGCAGGCCTCCATCGCTGCCGGCAGCGCCGCCGCGCGCTAGCAGCGACGACAAGCTGAGCCCAAGATCAAGAACTGTGCAACTAGGGTTAGGGTTGGGTGGGGGAGCAACACGGTGTGACATGTACTGCTGGTGGATCAGCCTGGCCCTGTCCAACCTGTGGACGTTCATGTGGCCTCCCAGCCCTTGTGCTGACCTGAACTCCTTCTTGCAATACCCGCAGGTGTAGGACGACGACGACAAGGGCGACGACCTTACCTGTGGCGGCGGCGCCGGCGGCCATGAGAAGGCGGCGGCGGCCAATCTGAAGTTGTCACTGCATGGCGGTTGTTGCTGCTGCTGCAGCTTGATTTGGCCGTCATCTACTCTTTCCATAGCTAGCTAGTCTGTCGGGTGGCGCGTGTAACTAACTACCTTTGGGGAATGGACAAATGGAGGGAGCTGGGAGAGAGAGAGAGAGAGTGCTATAAACCAAAGCTGAGCTAGTTGAGCTAAGGAGTGAAGGGTATGTGTATATATATATACACGCATCAACGCGTGAAGGCAAGCTAGAGCACACATGCATGCTTCATGAAGGACTCCAGAATACGCGATCAGCTAATTGCCACATAGAGATGGCGTTGTGCAGTTTACAGTTTTCAGAGAGGAAAAAACAAAATGGCCGGTCTGCATGCGTCCATCGGTTCATGCGTGCCCCGGCCAGGCCCCGCGCTCTCCCCGCTGCTGCGAAAGCGACACACAGACGTGATCCATCATTCCACTGAACTCGACCTGCTGTGTCTCCGATTCTCAAACTTTGCTAAGGGACGGACGTGCATGCTCACACTTGCTTGTGAATTTGCAGATGTAGGCTGCAAGCTACGTACCTAGGTGCTTCCCGCGGCTAGCTACAGGACCTGCACCCATGCATGCATGGGCGGCAAAACAAAAGGCTGCATGCATCGTTGTCACACGAAGCGCAGATGGCCCGGCACACTCAACTTTGACCACACTGAGATAGTAGTGAGGATCGATCAGCATTTGGTCTTGTAAAAAAAATCCTTCTTTTACATCTTCAACTTTTCGCAAAATCTTATTTTCTTCTCTTGTGTGTATAAAACCGGTTTTATCATTCTCAACTTTTAAAAACCATTTATTTTTTATCTTCGGCATTTTCGATGGCAATTTTAGCCTACTTGTCACCGTTAAGGGATTATCGACATAAATTGGAATATGTTCATGGCAGGGGTCAAATAGACTTTACAAAAATATAAATAAATTATTTCTAAAAAATATCCAAATAGTTTTTTTTCCTTTTCACAAAGGTCATGCAACTAAAACAATCCTATAATTTCATTTAATCTTAGAATTGAAAAAAATGCTTTACCTCGGAAATATGAAACCAGTTTCAGATCCCCCTTAAGAGCATGTCCAAGAGACTCTCCATATCCTTTCTCAATGCTAGGAATAGAGATTTTGTTGAGAAACTACCCTCAACTATCTTCTATTCCAGATTTTTCGCTAGCCAAAAATAGAAGACGAGAATGGCTCTCTACACTACGCATGAGATATAGAAAAACTGTTGGAAAATAAAAAGATATAGAAGCGATTTTTATGTAAATGACTCTCTAAATGATGATTTAGAGAGTAATATTTAGATAAGCTCTTGGAGATGCTCTAAGTCATGCTCTGTATTCTGTATTTAGCTTGGAGTTATTTGAATCTTCTATAGTCCTGCTTTTGTGTTCATTTACTAGTAGGTGCTTTAGTTATCTATTAAAATCAGCCGACGTTAATGAACCCGGACTACCTAGAGGGCTACGTGACTTCAATAACAACAGATGTCATGTAACCACCTCATACTTGATCCTGTATTTAGTAAAAGAACACAAACGCCACTTGATCAAGAGTTAATTAGGCATGGTGAGTAGTGCGTAACCAAAATATATGTATGTGCTTTTCAAATAGCTAGCTAGGCACACTGTGAGTATCTCATACTTGATCCTATTTAGTATACACACAAGTGCACCAGGACATAAAGCATGATTTTAGGAAAAATCTAAAAGTGGTTTCATTTTTTTTTGAGCTAATACAAACTTTCTATAAATTTTCTAGGATTCAAAAAATTATTTTAGGATTTTTGGTTGCTTGAATTTCCAGGGAAAAGATATTTGCATTTTTTTTGAAAATATCATTTGTATATTTTAAGTCTATTTGAACTCTAAACTATCAACATATATAGTTTATATATTTACTTCCCTTGCCACTAATGTGACGTCACGTACCTAAAACCTCCGTTGAAACTATTGAAGGTGTTTGAGACTATTGAAGTTAAGGAGAATAAAAACCAGATTTAAGTAAGGGAGGGAAATCGGGCTTTGTGAAACAGGAATGCTAAACAACACCCATGTGTTTTAGCACCCATAAACACATGATTTTTTTCTGTGTCTCTGACGTGCAGGGCCCACATGTCAGGTTCCAACTTAAAACACTCAGCCCTGACTCCTCTCCGCGTCCGTCCTCCTTCCGCATGCTCTCTCTCTCTCTCTCTCTCTCTCTCTCTCTCTCTCTCTCTCTCTCACTCACTCACTCACTCACTGGCGACGGCGACGGCGACCGGCGAGCTTCTCCCGGCGTCCGCGCCCATAGGCCTCCCAGCCCCGGGCCTGCGCCTCCCCACGCCCGCGCCCGCGCCGGCCATGGTGGATCCGCGCGAGGTAAGTCTTCTCCTCGTCCTCCTCGTCCTCCTCGTCCTCTTCATGGATCTGTGCCGACTGGAGACAAAGACGGCGGCGGCGGTGGCTAGGGTTCCGGCGAGCCCTCTCCCCAAATTTTGTCCTTGTGCTTTCATAGAAAAAAATGTTTCTTGTGATCTGTGATCTGTGATTTGTGCCAAGGAGTAACCGGGGGAGAGGAAGAACTGGGGGAGAGGCGGGCCGCGCGCCGGTGGCTGGGTGAGCGGCGGCGGCGGAGCGCTCGCTGGGCAGCGGGGCGGAGCTAGGTGCGAGCGAAGGTAGAAGAGGTGGAGGCTGTTGGATCTTCATTGTATGGTAAAAAAAATCATGTGCTGGAACAGGGTAAAACACCCGAAAGCCAGGTAGAAGTAGAGAGGGAGGTCAAAAGACTCGCTCTTTCCTTTTGGCTTTACTTATCTAGCTACTCGTCTCTCTCACACACACAGTATCTATCTTATCTACTCGATCGCATGCAGCTCCTTGTTCATTTCCTTTCTTCAGCTGTTTTGGCACAAACACGGGTAAACCCGGGCCGGCTCCATCCATCCACACATGATTGATTACTGTGGAGCAGTGCCCAGCAGCTAGACGGACGTCCCATCTATCGCCCATGGGCACAGGTAGCAGCCACATGTGAGGACTGCGGGATCCAGCGATAAAACTGTACTGGATCGCCGTTTTTTTTCACGTACTGCGTCCTCGGTCTCGTTGGAGAGGGATAAGGCGCGGGCTGGTTTGCAAGCGTGCGTGCATGCTCCTGCCGCAGTCCTGTTCACTGCTACATCTCCATGCAGGCATCGGCCAAAGCAGCTCGCGCTCGCGCAGTGCCCTTGACCCCTTGTTGGCCTTCTGGCCGGGTGAAGCGATCGAGAGAGCGCAGCGGCATCCTAGCTAGCTGCTAGTAGCTCTCATCTCTGCTACCAGTACGTACTCTGAGCGTATACCGGCGTAGGAGCCGGATCGATCGAGGACGTGCGGGTGGTGCCGATAGATAAAGAAAAGTGAACTAGCTAGTACCAAGTTGGTACACCAAGACGTGTGAGGCCGGAATCTCCCGATCCATCGATCTTAGCCACACACAGCAACTCTATCTCATGCACCGTCGTCACATGAGCCTGCATGCAGCGACAATTTAACTAATCTTTTCCCTGAATCACTAGATCATCGAGAGAACGAAGGGAGTGATAAGGGGCCGGACATCATATTACATATGGTAAGAGCACCTCCAGTGTACCGGTGAAATCGAACCGAGGGAGGAGAAAAGCGAACCGTGAACACCAGAGCGCGCGAACCGAGTAGAAAGCGAACCACGCAGATGAGTCGAACCCTCTAGCATAAAATAATCAGCATTGTACACGCATGAGAAGAGAGAGACCAAAAGAGGGATGCAGAATCTTCCGCGTGGCACTTGCATGGTGAGTGTTGGGCCCCAGCAGCCGATGCTCGCACTACACACATCAAACCTCCTGACACTTGCATGCTCGGTTCGCTTTGCACATTGGAGCTGCCCTAAGAGCAAGGTAAGTTTTTCTTACAAGTTGTATCTTTTATATCATATGCTCTTGCTCTTGCATTTGCATCCAAGCAGTAAGGAGATAGGTTTTAATTTTGGTATCTATTATTTGCTTGATTTGGTTGTGTTGTCATCAATCACCGATATGGGAGAGATTGTAAGGAAAATGGCACCTAGCATGGGCCATATGTGATTTTGGGGGTTGATTGACAACATGATCAAATGGACTAGTATGGTTTGCCAGTATATACAAGGTTTTAATTCATTTGGATGCAAGGATGGACTGGACTTGGCAACATGAAGATCAAGTGATCAACACCTCAAGAAAGATATTAGAGTTGTTGTTGAAGACCTAGAAGGCATGCTAGAAGATCAAGACATCAGGTAGAAAAAGGCCCAGACAAGAAAATGCGAAGAAATGAAGAAGATTTGGGCTATGGGCAGTCACCGGATAACTCCGCTGATGCTCTATGAATTGAAGAGCACTGGAACATAGGCTCTGGTCAAGATCTCTACATAGGTGTTTTGCAGTCACCAGATAACTCCGGTGCATAAGCTAGTTGAATCAGCATCGGAGCTCAGGGCGTCGGCCAACAACTCCGCAGAAGGTTTTTCAACCAATCGGAATTTGCTGGTGATATGAAGAGGGAGCTCCAGAGAATGTGTCACCCTCGGGGTCCCTACAAAATCTTTTGGATGTCACCGGATACTCCAGTGGTCACCGGGGAAGTGGCACCAGAGAAAGGGTGCAATGGTTGGTAATAGCTAGTTTACATGTGGCAGTAACCGAAAAACTCCGGTGTGTGTAGTTCTGTCCAACAACTAGTTTTAGACTTTGGGGCTTATATATATACCCCCCCGAAGGCCGACCATTTGGGAGTGTTAGAGTGTGCTGAAGTTGTAAGGGAGTTGAGGCTCCATTCCAAGTGCTCTATCCACCACAAGTGCTAAAGGAAATATTAGGTGACTAGAGTAGTGCTTTTGCAAAGTGCCTAGGCTAGTTAGGCCCACACATTGGTGCTTTGCTCTAGGCTTAGGCTTAGTGTTTAGTAAGGTTTACATACCTCTTACCAACCTGGTGCTTGCGTACACCATTGCTTGTACACTGGGGGCTTGTAGTTTTACGAGACCCTTCGAGGTGTGGAGAG